GGTTTTAAAACCAAAAACAACAAGCTTAAAGACACTGAAATCTCCATAGGGCTACGGAGGGTTGCAGAGTTAGATGATGTGGGTTAATCACGACAAGTAATTTCTGAATGTCAGTGAGTGATTTGAGTGAGAGTCAGAGTTGAGTGAGTGATGAAGTTGCACCACTGGTTGGCCGAGTGTTTGACTGTAGGCTGTTGCTCTTTGAAAATGAAACATTTTCTATTACGTCATCAGGTGTTGAGTCAGGAGATCCACAGCCGTTTTCATGCTCAGTCCTCTTTGGTGACTTTTTTTTTTTTTCCAAAAAGGCACTTACAACAAATTTAGTGACTTTGGACAAACCTTACCTAATTTAATGAAAGAGAGCTGCCAGTAATGCCCAGCAAACGAGAGGCACACCACTCTCTGCGTCTGCCTAATGTAGTCAAAGATCACAGCGCAGTCTTTGCCTTTAACTTACGTGTGTGGTGATTTTGTCAGACGAAGTTGTGGTTAGGCTATAAAGTCAAAATTGTAGCAGTGCAGAAAAGCAGCTTGGAAATTGTTTGGAAGTGACTTTTGGTTAACACGTAGTCTTAATGTTTCAGTCACTATGTCAAACTTGTTGAGAACAGCTTTATTGGGAATCCAGCTGTATTAAAATACTGTATAACACAGAGAGTAGGACAGAGGCGAACAGATAAAATGCTGAAATGGCTGACACGAGGCAGAATACAAATGTGATGCAATCACTTGAATATGCTATTACACTATTACATCATCTAGCAACATTTAATAACTTTTTGAGCAGGCTTTTCCAAAGAAAGTAGTTGCTTACAGCAGTTCCACAACAGTTTTTATCTGTGTCCACAATTTCACACATTGATCATACCCGATCCAGTCATATACCAGGTTCTGACCTAATCTAGTCATCGGTTGATATAAAGAATATTGATTAGTGTAGCTTTAAAAAACTGACAAAGTAAGTTTCCCCCAGCCAAAGGTCCCAGACTTTTGAATCTCTGCCCATATAACTAATTTTCTTTGCAAATCAAATTCACAAACTGATTTCTAGAAAGAACAAAAACAAATAAAGAAGCAACTAAGAGCCATTTGGAAAAAATGAACAGTGATAATACAGCAGCAGTGGATACAGTTAGAATGAGATTCAAAAGATTCAAAAGATTTGATATGTATCTAACCTGATGGAGAACCTGAACCTGATGTGTTTCTGTGGGTAGAGGGATGTGATATGTGAGGGGACCTGAGCTCTGCAGCTCTCTATGTTGCTGTTATGACACCGCAGGGAGCTTCACAGCAGATTGTTTTGACTGGAGGTTTCCAAGGCAGAGTTTTGTTCAGAGGAGAGGAATGGCCAGAGGTTTAATGATTCCACCAGAGTTTTATTCTGTTTTTTAATGGCTGCAAATACAATCCCCTAACTATGAATAACTTTTAAACTAACATGAATAAATGTCTTTCTTCGATCCGAATTTTATGAAAAAGAACTCATATGATATGAGGTCTGAGACCAGAAAAGTAGGGCTATAATAAACAATACTGCCTGGAGCTGCTTTTCTTGAAATGAAACTGTTGTCTACCGGTTTTAAACACTCTTTCTTTTTTCCATGTCCATTTTACATTTTTTCCACTACATTTAGATCCTCTTTTGCTGAGCATCAGTGAGTCTGGAATTTGTGATGGAAAGAATGATTAGAGATTAGCTATCCACCATTAAGGACAATGACCACCTCAATGTCTTGCAGTTAATGCAACAATAGCACATTCAGTCGGGGGCTCATTCCACTGTGACGTGCCAGCGCAGCCTTTCAGGTGCTCACATGTGCCATCTGGCTCTAGAGTGCCTCGTCCTGCAGCATAAACACCAGCCAGCTGGCAATTCCTGAAAATCTACATCTGCTTCTTCCCAACTGTTTGAGAGACACACTGGTGAGTATTCACTAATACAAACTACTTACCATATTTCAAATGTGTTTTCCTTTAAAATCCCAGTATTTTTGCTGCTAATAAAACTGTGCTTCATATTTGATCATAGTGCCTCATGGCTCTGAAAATGAGGAATGCAGCGAGAGGTCTGGTTTTAGTATGCAAGGACGACTGATTTACAACACTAACACCCAGTGCAGTAAAACAAAGAAATATTGAGAGAAAAATCAAGTTTGTGGTGAAAAGCAGAGCTAATATATGACATTTATAAAGGAGAGCATGCAGATGATATGACAGCATCAACATGTTCAAAAGTACCTGTAGCACCTACCTCTACAGAGGTCACAGAGAAGTTAAACACAGTTAAAAGAAGGGTTTGACACTTTAGGAAACATACTCATTTAATGTTTTGCAGAGAGTGGGAAGAGTAGATCGATATCACTCTCATATATGTTAAATATGAAGCCAGCAGCCAGTTAACTTAGCTAAGCGTAAAGACTAGAAACTAGAAAAGCTTTGTTCAAATGATAGAAAATCAAGTGTATACTTATTAATTAACATGCTATATCTTTTTTGTTTAATCCATACAGAAACAAATCAGGGGTGGTGAGTCTATTTGTACAGAGCCAAGCTAGCTACTTTCCTGAAGCTAACTAAGCTTCATATATAAAGTTGATAAGCTTATTTCCCAAAATGTAAAAATATTGCTTAAAGAAAGCTTGATGTAACATCTAGTCTGCTTGAATCATGTCTACAGCCTCTCAGCAGCAACATGGAACCATGAACCCATCCATCATGATTTCATACCTACGCTGTCCACTGCTGGCAGCTGGTTGTCACTGGGAACAAGCTTACACAGACTGTTATGGTTAATACTCGTCCCTCAAAGGAACTCTGTGTGAGTGACTCCTGCTTCTGGTAAAAGTTGGTCCAGACATAGCAAGACTCTGATCAGACCATCAAGCACACTCACAGCATTTATAAGACATGGTGTCACCTGGAAAATATGGCAATGGCTTTAGTAATGGTACATGGAACACACACAAACACACACACACACACACATACACGTACACACACACACACACACACACACACACACACACATACACGTAACACACACACACACACACACACACACACCACACACAACACACACAAACACACCACACACACAAACACATACACACACACACACACACACACACACACAAAACACACACACACACACACACACAACACACAGACACACACACACATACACACAACACACACAACACACCACACACACCACACACCACCACACATACGTACACACACACACACACACACACACACACACACACACATACACACACACACACACACACACACACATTATTGCCTGGAGGCTAAGGCCCCAAAGGGATCCATAAATCTGAGTGGACACAAGATGATTAACGGGATTGTGATTTACAAAAATGAAAATGATGTTATGAACATTTCTATTGTGAAATATTGGAGAGTTTAATAGAGTGCAGAAAATCCTTCATCTGTCAATATATGAAATATGAAAACGAGTAAATGTTGGTTTGTTTTAATGGTGCACAACCCAAAAATGTTGGGAGCCACTGGTAGAATGGCAACATTAAAAATTTGTTTTCACCCACGAGTGTAACCATCTTAAGTTAATCAAAACCATCACAGTCACTTTGCAAAGTGAGATCATATAGTATTTTTACATTTTATGTTACACTATAAACAATAAAGCACATGATAGTTTATGGACTTGATCTGCATTTACTGTGAAACTGAACATTCCTACTAATTTTTCTGTTGGTGCATATCTCATAATTCTGACTCTGCATTTTGTAATTATGAGGAAACCGTCTGAGTTACGTGATCTTTATCTTGTAATGAATGAATTATTGGGTCTTTACATCATTCTTATTAGGAAGAACTGTCATTATGAGAAAGGCAAGATTACTCTTCACCATTTAAGCAAATAGGAACACAATGACTCCAAACCAAATTTAATAAATCACCTTTCTTGGTTTGTGGCATTAAGAGGAAATGTGATTAGTAACATTACCAGTGCGTCAGCGCTGTGTAAACATTTCATGATTCACTGATTTTATAGATTAAAGGAGACTGATCCACCTGAGGATGCTCCAGCATATATAAATACACTATAGAGAGGCTTTCTTCATATGAGATTAGTTGTAATTAGATACCGAGTAAATGGGGAGATGTGAAAGTAATGATTATGAGATATGGGAATCATAATAATATTTATTCAGTTACTGTCTTGCTGAAGTTCACGTTTGTAAATATTCAAAGTTTCAAATCAAGCTCCTACACAGGTCTGCACCAATGTGGGTGACATATTTACTTATTAATTATTCTGTTTGCAGGACTCTGGCAAAAAAAAATTATGAATTTATTTCTGTTAGTGAAGCTACTAATTTAGACTCCAGCAGCAATCTGTATCTATATTTTTTGTCACTGGGAGCTGTGTGTCTATACAGCATGAGAGCTACACCCTGCTCTCCTCAGTCCAACATAATAAACTGAGGTGACATTATGACAAAACACAGACTTGAAAAACAGCCTGTGGAAATGTTATACACAGATGTGAATAAACCAAGATATAATCCTTTAATGCATCATTAAAAGCCAAATGTCAAGGTATCAAAAACAGAACTGAAGTCTCCACTAACACTGCTGCTACAGAGATCTCTTTTCCCACTGGATTTGCCCTTTCATTTTCAATATTTAACTGATTGTATTTTCCATATTAAATGGGTCATAACTGTACAAAGCATAGCTAATCTCTTTTTACTATACATACCCTTTATCGGCTCTGACCATACGTAGACTATGGAAAATTAAAAAGCTTTCATTGGGTAGTTGATTGCTTTTCATGTCACAATGGATAAAATTTCATTAGGTTATTAAAGACAAAGAGAAAATCATTGTCCTTATAAAATTTTCATTTAATCATGACGCAGTAAATGCATGTAAAGAAATAAATATAACAATGTGCATTGTATTTCACTTGGTCTCTTTGTTTGAATTGTTTTTATTTAGGCATTTTAAATCTTCCAAAGCAGACATCATAATCACATCACTGCTACACTGTGTGGCATTCACTATGCATATTTTGCATACTGTATCAATTATCTTGCTTTATTATACAGTATAAAATATCACAATTAAAAAACATGGACAAGGAGAGATTTGAAGATTTCCCAAAACTGCATCAAAACATTTTAATATTAACATTAGAGGACTAATGGCTGTTTAACATTGTCCAGCTAACTGAGTCAGATTCTCGCAAGGAAAAGCTACTGAATTTTGCCATTCATACATATTTCCCCTTCCCCTAAAACAGCTCACTTTAACCAGAGCAGATTAGTCTGTACAGTCAGAAATGAGAGGGTTTGTCACTGTTCCTATTCAGTAATAACACACAGATGTACAACCCTGCTGAGGCTGAACTTGGAAAAGTTGGAATGAGAGAGAGGAACCCATGGGAATGCATTGGTGGTATGAGAAATGTTTTGATCGGAACTTTTGGCATTACGATAAATTAACACTGGTTTAGTTAATGGGTTCAAGCCTTGGCATCTTTTGAGGGTCAGTTTTCCCTTCAGCCCCTGGCTGTGTATCTACACATTGAAGACATAACGAATTAGAGTCTTCTTTGGTTTCTAGTTTTAAAGCCGACTTGTTTGAGTTCACAAATCTTGAGTCATCTTTTTGTTTTTGGCCAGTCACATACAGTAATCCTAATTTTGGGTGGAGACATAAATGTGTTCAATCACTCGAAGGCAGAAGACCCAGTCGGATGGCAGCTGCTCGTAGGACATCTTGTTTCCGTCCAATCGTAGGATCTTCATCCTGGAGTAGGACAGAGGTCCCACTTCTCTGCAAAAACTGGTCACGTTGAACTCTGTGGTAAAGGGACGGAAAACAGGCAGGCTCTTTAAAACATACACGGACCACATTTATTATTAGAGACCCATTATTCACCCGAGTGACAGCCATCTGCTCATTGCTGTCTTGTCAAAACATTGCAGATACTAAAGCAGTCCAGAGAGCTTTGATTTCACATCATGTACCATGTGTTCACCATGTCTAAGTTCTTAGTCTGCATTTACCATTAGGTGTCTTGCAGGTGCTGTGGTGAAAATGGAGGCAGAAGAAACCACAACACCCTTTTCTGCTTTCTCACTTTGTTTTCAGTAGTAGAGAGTCTCTGAGCTCAGACTGCAGGCTTTGGCAGACAGAAACTGCGGTAGCTGTAAGGCTGCTTGCTAGACGATGAGGTGTGTGTTATTGTGGAAGTGTTTTGCCGTATGTCTGTCTCGATGGTACACAGCCCCGCTGTCTGCTGCACCACACACTGACAAACAAGAACTGATTTTCACTTTGCCAGAGCCTGTGAGCTGCTCTCCAGGTCATTGCTGCTGGATGGTCATGTGAGTCAAAATGTGGCTCCTGGCTACAAGACTGCTGCATTGTGATACAAATCCTATCTGTCAAAAAAAAAAGGCCACAGTGATGGGGAGCAGACAGAGAAGAGAGGAGAGACTGAAGAGGGGAACAGCATGTGCTTCTGGCTCATCTGGCACTCTTACCACTGAATCCATCACAGATGTTTTCATACCACTCTCCTTACTTCTTTACTAGCCCACTTTCCCTTCATGCAACCACCCAATATTCCCTCCTCTCTTCTCTCCTCCACCCTCTTTTCACTTCTTTTCTTTCCATGTCTCCCTCTGAGTCCCTCCCCTCCCTTCGATCTCACTCTTCTTCCATCTCTGACTCGCTTCGCCTGCTAGCCGCAGCCCCTCCTGAGTCTGTATGCAGTGAGGAGGGCCAGCTGCGTTCAAGTGGGTTGGGGCTCTGCAGGTTTCTATAGAGGTACTTTACAGATCTTGTCACATTTTCCACATTTCTTCTCTCAGCACCACCTCCTCAGGTGGTCACCCACGTAACTCGCTAACACTGCGCTTGAAAAATGTATCAAAGTGCGTACATGTGTGGGAAGTTCAAATTTCCCAAACATGAAGTCAGTGACACCTCTACATTCAATGTGTGAAAGGTGACTGCATCTGCGTGTGAATGCATGCACATGTTTTTTTGTGTATGTATGCACCTCACCTTGTATTTCATTGGCCTCCAAATAGAGGTACTGCAGGGTGGTGGGGACTGTGGGAATGGTAGTAAGTTTGTTGTAAGAAAGGTCCAGTTCCACCAAGCTGGACAAGTTGAAGACCTGTGGTTGGATGCCGCTGCTCTGCAAACCACAGCGACGTAAACGGAGGTACTTAAGGTTGAAGAACCCCACAAAGCTGTCATTATCCAGGCCAGAGAGGGAGTTATTGGACAGATAGAGCTGCTGGACAGAAGGAGGTAAATGCCTGGGGACAGATGAGAACAAATTCTCACGCAGGTCCAACAGATTCAGACTGACCACACCTGCAGGACAATAGGAGAGGACAAAAACACAAACAAAGGTGGAAAAATGAATGCTGACAAATATGTGTGACAGATAGAATGAGTGTAAACATTTTTAGTGTTAAATGCAAGTATATAGTCAGGGTGTGGGGTGTAGGCCTAATCAGTGCAACAAAACACATGTTTAAATGTTATTTGAATTGGTTTCATTTTCATTTGCAGAGCATTTTGGAAGTATGAAATTAAATTGTGGAAAGAATGCAAGATTTTACAATGCATTACATGTTTGCTGACAGACGTGAAATCAGCTCACTGTTGAATTAGACAACTCCTTAACTCCAATCACCCTAAAAGCTATGTAAAATAGACAATTGTAGACAGTCACAAAAGGACGAACATGCAAAAGTGCCACTGTTCCAAGTAATGGGAACCCTTTTTTAATGTTTGTTGACTGTGTGTTTTGCATGATGTGAACAGATACAAGACAGCAGGACAAAGCTATGCTGTACTTTATCACTTCCCATCCCAAGTACGTATAGAGATGAATTGTATATGATGCATGTATGAACAAAGGAAATGACACATTACACTACCTTTGAGGTCTCCCTTTGTGATGGTTTGCAGTCTGTTTCCCTGCAGCAGCAGCACCGTCAAGTTGTGCAGATTCTGGAAAGCTCCAGGGCTGATGCTGCTGATTTGGTTGTAGGCCAGTCGCAGCTGCTTGAGTCCTGCTGGTAGCTCACTGGGCACTGAACTCAGGTGGTTGTGGTTGGCAAATAAGTAGCACAGCTGGGTTTGGTTCTGCAAGACGGCCTGGTCCAGCTTGTCGCTCTGCAGTTGGTTGTGGTCCAGGATGAGCCAACGCAGCCCAGTAATGTTGGCTAGCATAGAGGAGGACAGGGACGAGATGTTGTTGTCCTGGGAATAACAGAAAACATTGCCCAATGTATTTTGTCTTTGCAGACTTCCTCTTAAAATAAAACATATACAGTGCAGTGTAGCGCAGTGGAGGTCAATCACTGTGAACAGGAAATGAAAAACCACTGTGGGTTAGTAGCAGACCATTGTTAATATAAAACACGCTCAGTGCCTGTGTCAGTGTTTTTCTTACCTGTAGAAACAGGTATTGGGTTCTGTCCGGCAGGTTGTCAGGGATGTCGGCCAAGCCTCTGTGGTCACAGTAAAGCGCTGTGGTCCACTGGATGGGGCAGTCACATTGTTGAGGACATGCCTGTGGGTTGTTAGCTCTGAACCAGGCTGGGTCCATCCGCCCCTGCAGGCTCAGAACACTGGGTTCTCCCAGCAGGCGGTTAATCCACAGGGGAACACCCCCGTAGTCCATAGCCGCTACAACAGTGGCTGAGGCAGAGTGAAAGACACACAGCAGCACCATGACGGCACAGTGCAGGAGAGCCATGGAAAGAGCTGGCGAGATACACAATCCTGCAAATTAAACAAGATAACGGTGATTAATGGGAGTGTATTTTACATGTCAAACTCAATTTGCTAATATAAGCCTGTGAAGGTTGTATAATGTCTACTGTGCCACTGGAGGAGCTAAGTCAAGTCAGAGAAAATTTCTTAAATGATCTCACATGGGTGTCCTGGCTTTGGCATGGGAATAACACATTTAACAGAAAGCCTGAAGGCACAAGCTGTATTATGGGAAGTGTAGGATCCAGGGTTTTTGGAGCTTGACCCAAATGACCTCCACAGCATGAGTGTTGACCTTAATTTTTAACTATGGTCTAGGGATGGCAACACTGGTCTGTCTGATGGTTGGTCAGTCCACCACTTTGGTTCAGACGGAAATATCTCAACAACTAGTCGATGTATTGCCAAAAGATTTTATAGAGACATTCATATTTCACTGAGGATGACATAGGTGATCCTCTGACTTTACTTCTAGTGCCACCAGCAGGTCAAAGTTTCAATGTGTCCAGTACTTTCATTTATGGTAGTAGTTTATAGTAGTTTAAGTCCCTCATCTTCACGGAACTGCAACACTACAGTAAATAGCTGGAATACCCCTTTAAGAACAGATGCGACCCTTGAATTTTAAGGAACTATTGAATGTGAAAATTGACGCATGAAAAAAAAATAGTTTCAGCGTGAGTTCAAACATGTTAATCCTTTTTATGGCAGCCCCTCTCTTTATGACATGACTTAATAAAATGTATTAAATGAATGGAAATCATGCACCACTGTTTGAAATGCAGCACAATTGAAATGGTTGCTTTTGCATACACATTTCCATGCACTGAAACCTCTGAGTATGAGAAGGAAGAATCATTTTTTTCCTGCACGCATAACTGTAGATGGTTACGGTAATATCCAAAAAAGCAAGTACGCACATAAGCACACACACACAAACCTACACTAAAACTCTGAGCAATTAGTAGGAAAGGTTTGAATCATCAGGAAATTTGATTTTATCAGCATGTTTGCAATGTTGCATTTAGCCCTCCTCACTTATATGTCCAGCCTTATAGTACAGCACATGCTCAAAAGGTTGCCAAGAGATTAACTGTCTTACGCAATCATGACTCAAACCAACTGTAATCAGCACACATTGCAGTTCTGAACATTTCCAGTTTTGCCTGCCTTGCAAATAGAGGAAATGGAAGCAGACAAGAAACAAACAGCAGACAGACACTTACCTGTTGATCACGAGCTGCAGAGCAGAGACAGGTTGTCTTAAATTTCCAATGAAAGCCTCCGAACCATCGGGAGCTGTAGTGTGGGTTAATGTGTCTGCATGTGTTTGTGTGTGTGTGTGTGTGTGTGTGTGTGTGTGTGTGTGTGTGTGTGTGTGTGTGTGTGTGTGTGTGTATGTGTGTGTGTTTTCAAGCTAGCAGCAATGTTTACCCAATGTCTCATACATTCCCCTTCTTCAAACGCTGCCCACATCCCAGACCCCACACCTCTTCCCTCACTCACTTCTTCCTTTTCCCTTCTCTCAGCCCTCAGTAACAGTTGAACCCACAACATTTGGTGGAAACAATGTTTGCTTGTACCATGGAGATGCACAAAAAAAATATACAAAACTACTTACACGGACTACTGAAGAAGGGAAAAGAGAAGAGAGAAATCACATGAGGGAAACGAATCAGTTTGGAGTCAGATGGTTTTCAGCTAATATGAGAAAATTTTGATTAGCATTCAAGTATATCCTCTTGTGTGTGTGTATGTGTGTGTGTGTATGAGTGTGTGTGTGTGTGTGTGTGTGTGTGTGTGTGTGTGTGTGTGTGTGTGTGTGTGTGTGTGTGTGTGTGTGCGCGCGCGCATGTGTCTGTGATATTGGGTCTACAGCACGTGTCCTGCCTGGAGACATTCAAGCCACAAAGTACCTGGGGAGCCAAAGAGACCATTCTGTGTGTATATGTGTGTGTCTTTGCGTGTGTGTGTGTGTGTGTGTCTGTGTGTGTATGTGTGTGTGTGTGGAAGGAACTTCTTGCAAGCATCTGAGCAGACTAGAGGAAAACGATTCCAGATTCCTCTCCCCCCAGATTGAGGGGAGAGCTCTGAGAAAAGAGGCAAGGTGGAGAGCAAAAGGTAAAGAGGGGACAGTATTTTCTGATCAGAGAGCAAAAAGAGCGCCCTCTAGGAAAAACAGAAAGAATATCTTTCTTTTAACCATAAACCATGAAAAGAACCGTAATGCCACTTCCACTCTTGCGCCTGTGCATGTGTGATATAGGCCTCTGCAGGAGCTAGGTGTTAATTCTACATACAGTAAATGAATGTCTAGGGAATAAAGAGGGCAATATTAAGGAATACGTGTGGCTAGTTCAGAGTTGTTTATGATAAATTTCCAGAATAAGATTTGTGATGGTTCACGGCTCTGGTGTCATAAAAGAAACAAATTCTACAAATGAAATAACAACATGAGTGCGAACATGCTCATGTTTAGCAGTTATGTGAATACAATTCATGCCGTGAAAAAAGAATCGACCTAATTTTATGTCAATACATTCAGTAGTTGAGATATTTCACTCGTAACTCAATTATTTTGGTGCTAGAGGACAAAGTCAAGAGATCAACACAGTCACTAGGATTCACTGTGTAATTGTAACTGTGTAATATTTTTTGCACCAGTCCATGTTGAGTTACTTAACCGCATGTGTAATAGATTTGACCTACTAATGACGCTTGATGAAAAGTCAAGGGATCACCCCAGTCACTAGGATTCATTGTCTGGTAACCATGCATGCATATCTGTGTAATATTTTTGCACCAGCCATTCCAGCAGATGTCGAGTTATTTAACCGGATGAGTCATAGATTTGACCTACTTATGATGCTTGATGAAACGTCAAGTCATTAAGACACATTGTTTGGGCACCATGAATCTAAACCCAATCACCAGCTCTTTCACTAAAAAACAAAAATCTAAACCTCATGTTGGCACTAGTAAGTAAGTCATGAGATAAACTCAGAAGAATTCATCTTCTGGAAACCACAGATTTCTGTACAAAAATGTTTTAAGGCAATCCATCCACAGTAACAGCTATTGACCAACTAACACTGTCATCCCGAGAGCTTTACTCTGGAAAGCAAAGCGAATAGTGTCTTTCTCAATGTGTGTCACCTTTTCCCAGTCCCGCTTTCCATCATCAATTAGATTTCTTGTCGAACGGTGTCATGTATTCGCAGCTCATCTCTAACTGGTTGAGTGAGGGTTTTCAGAAACATGAACAAGAGCTGGTGTGTTGGCAGCAGCAGTTTGGCAGCTCCTCACCGTCCTACACACCCTGTGCTCTACTTTTCTTGGTTTGCTCATAAACAGGAAACGGACCTGGGAAAGGGCGTCCATCCATCCACCATTGGCTCTTATCCGGAATAACACCTTTCACTGAAACATTTCACTCCACATATAAATATTTATATCACTCACACATGAGGTCATTGTTAGATGGAATGATTATTTATGCTGAATGAATATTTGTAGGCTTGGTTTCTGATCTTGCAATGTAACAAAAATCGCTTTGCTCACCCACCACCTAGCTACCCCATAATAACTGCAAAAATTGAGGGACTTTCACCTACAGAAAGTATCTCTGTTTCAAAGGTTAGTAATTTCCATATCTATGGCATAGGAAAGAAACACCTAATAATAATTTTCACAAGTCTTGATTACAGCATTAAAAACAAAACACAGTGTCACCTCCACCAGATGTGACGCCATACGCCTCCTGGTCTCTTGCATCACATTGCAAAGACAATTTGTTGAGGTAACCTATGATTATACTGTATTTAATTTCTTGTTCCAATTGTTTGTTAGAGTCATGAAATTACTTTTCAACCTCATGTTCACTCCCAAACAGGAAATTCTGCCCTCAGGTGGTTTCCTGTTTAGGAGTTGGCAGGTATAGTCGCTCGTCAAACAGCTTCTCAGGTTGAGAACTCTTCAAATACTCTGTTGTCACTACAGAGAATGTTTCAGTTGCACTTGTTAAGAGAAGTTGCACATGAAACATTATCATAGTTACAGAGGTCTGGCGGTGCTTTCCAAACATTCTCGTCAAATGTAATACAGTGGAAATATTGTGTCTGTGTTGCAACAGTTTGGTTGCGATATACCTTTTGTCCAAAATCTGTTGCCTGATAAGTTTAAAAGCGTAGCCTTGGAAACAAAAAGTCTCAGTCTCACCTCACCTGACCCATCTCACTCACCTGTAGATGTTCTAATGTTTACTTTTGGCCCTTTTTGAAACTTTTTTGGTTTTCCTTTTTTCATTCATTCTCGGTTCTAGGTTCTCTCTCTCTCTCTCTCTCTCTCTCTCTCTCTTTAGCTCGCTCTCTCGCTCTCTCTCTCTGTCTTTTGTTTTCCTGTGCAGCCACTAAGCGGACCCTGAAGTGAGATTGTTTTGTCAGTTGTTATATTTGCGTGACATTTGTCTTCCAATGACACAAAAATACATGTTACTTTTTGAAATGAAAACAAATTAACTTCAGTCTTAAGTCTCTTTCCTTTTCCACCTCTTGCTTTTCCTGTTGACATAATGTCAGTCATTCACCGTCTGCTCCCTACATTTCCTATCACTGACACTAGATGGCTGTATTTCATCAGTAATCAACAGCAGATAAAAGCTTCTCACAGGTTGGAATAAAACTGAGGTAAAGGTTTACTTTGCCAGTGTTTACAATACACCTACAAACAAAACATTAACACAAATAGAGCATATATCCATTTGAGAAGTGGGACGTGTTAATGTAAAGGAAAATGACAAATGCACTGACTGAATGAAGAAATGAAAGGTTAAACTCTCTTTGTTATACTGTAAGATATATATCTTTCTTCATGAACCATTCATTTTACTATTGAAATTCACTTCAGCGTTGTGATTTAAGTACTGCTCTAAGTTGAGTGTATTTTCATGCTGTCAAAGTCATCCTGACACTGACAATGAGTTTCACTATGACTGAAGTGTTATGCAACAGACTTCCCCAGCATGGTGTTGAACTGGAGATGCAGTTGCAGTTGCAGTTGCGTGCATCTTATACCACTAGGTCACTAGGACACAGTTTAGTGTATTATTAACATTTCCTTTTTCAATGTAGCACAGAAGATTTAACACAAGCAAATCATCATATGATACACATATACTTATAACATACATACATAAAAACCTGTTGCTTTTTTCAGTGTGAGAAAAAGACGAGAAGCTCGACGTGGTGTAATCATGAACATCTGTGCGTGATTCAAGTGTGTGTGTGTGTGTACATGGACATCTGCTTTCTATCGCATGGTTTATGCTGCCCCTGTGCCCTGGGGTGCCATGGTTCAAGTTACCTTGAGGAGCCACATTGTCCCAGGACTACTAAGACCAGATCTGTGTGCATTTTCTATAAGAATGTGTTATCTATGTAATATTTTGTAATTAAACAATCTCTTTATGTAATTTAGAAGTCAGTATATTTTCTTTGGCATACAGTGAGTGAGAAGTTTTTGTGGCATGGATACTTCAAGAGGAACCATTGCGTTTGAATTGGTAGTTGCACAGTGTGTGTGTGTGTGTGTGTGTGTGTGTGTGCGCGCGCGCGTATACTTACATAAATCACCTTGTGAAGACAACAATCTGGTTCCCACTAGGTTATCCATTAAATTATAGGGTAAAATGAAATGTAAGTCAGGACAATGTCCTCCTAAGACAAGTTTATTTGAGTTAAGGAGATTATAGATAAAGTGCCACAGATGTAATAATGAGCTAATGACTGTGGCAGTGAAAGCCATTGCAAAAAAGTCAATTCAGCTTCATCCTATGGCAAGATACAAAACATATTTCCAACATTACATCTTATACAGAAAAATACTGCGCTTTTAGTTATTGCAAATTTATTAGGACCATATGAATCCTTATGGCAGCCAGATGAAAGAACATCTGACTGCCATACATACTGTACATAATTAAACAGTTTAATTCATTTCAATCAATACAACGGCTTTCAAACAAGTGCATTAGCCCTAATTGATCTGATTTGATGCTGGAGATAAAAACATATTTGAAGGCATCTGAAGAAAGCTTGATGTTTTGTGTATTTTATGGTATTTTTGTGGTATTTTTGTGGTAGCCTTTGTCTCTTTCTTCAGGTGAGTGACAAAAGAAGCAACCCCAGAATGAAAATTCCTCTGACATTCCTGTGAAGAGTTGAGGGCTTGAGTGGAAAGGGCTTGGTCGTCTGATCTTCTGATCTCTGCTCAGTGCTCCTCGTGACCCAGACAGTAGACTGGGGGAAAGGACACGGGTGGGGGTAGGGTTTGTTTGGGGCTACCCAGAGTCCACCTGGGCCTCTTACTTTGAAGTCCTGGTCAGTAGAGAATGACTTTGTCTCACTCTAAATAATAACTGCTGCACCTTTAGTTTATGTTGTTTATGTATGTAGATACAAATCACACACACGCATTTACATACAAAGAAAGAGACACACACAGACACACATCACAGCAGAGTTTATCTACTCCACCATCTTACTTAAACGGCCCTTTGATGTTGTATTGCATGAGGTATTAACCTCAAGGTTCATAAGGTTGTCCGGTGTCAGTAACGAGTCAAGGGTGAGAGTTCATCTTTGTTCAGCTCGCACTTGGGCAGCTCCTCCTTACAGAGAAATAAAGCTGTGTTGAGTCCATCATCCATGTGCTTTTGACAAATCAGCCAGTTAGACATACAGTGCATTCGGAAAGTATTCAGTCACATTAGTTTTTGTTGCAGCCTTATACGAAAATGAATAATAATTTTCCCCCCTCATCAATCTACACTCAATACCAGTTTCAGTTTTTCCTTTTTAATAACTTTGCACAAATTTCTAAAATTCTGTTTTTGCTTCGTCATTATGAGGTAATGTGAAAAAAGTGAAGGGGTCTGAATACTTTCTGAATGCACTGCATGGTTATTAGGCTCATGCCAGCAGTGGTGGCAAAGTGCGTAAAGCTGCTTTTCCCCCTTTCCCCTGCATTCTGCATTTTCTATCCATCTATCTATCTATCTATCTATCTATCTATCTATCTATCTATCTATCTATCTATCTATCTATCTATCTATCTATCTATCTATCTATCTATCTATCTATCTATCACCACTCTTATCAGTGTGAAAACTTTGAGAGCTTTATGGTGGAACGGCTAATGCAGCTGACGTTAGCGTTGTGTTGACTTAAAAATTATGACACCGAAAGTCAGCAGGTAAAGTTGTTGAATTTTGACAGGAAAATAGATGTTTCAAGACAAAACCTAGAGGCTTATGTAAGCAGCAGTATGTTGATTGGCCAAACTTAACACCTAGTATTTGAAAATGTTTTATTTTAGTAGGAAATGTATGTTTGTTGGCCAAACTTAGCAGCTTAATGACATTTTCTTCTTCTATTTAAATATTAGATTTGTGGAGGCCAAAGTTAGTAGCTTATTTTATTCAAAATATTACATTTTATCTAGATATTATAAGTAACTGCCAATTTAGCAGCTAAGTTTACTGACAATTTATCATATTACATCCACGTTAAAATCATTATATTGTCATTTATTTCTTTTAACCTTATTGCTAATGTTCCAGTAGGCAACACTGGTCAGAAGCAGCTAATGTTACTGTCACTTAATATTAACCTACCATAAAATCCTGCCAACCCTGCGTCCTCTGAATCCCTGAACGCAAGATGGATCCAGTTCAACAATGGCAGAGTGGGAAAATGCAGAAACAAGCAGCTGGGTCAAAGAAACCCAACCAGCTGGATAGCTGTGAATTAACCCCTCAAAATTCCTTTGACCCAGCAGGAGCAGCTCCACAGTGTGTTCAAAGGATCTATCTATCTATCTATCTACCTATCTATTTATCTATCTATCTATCTATCTATCTATCTATCTATCTATCTATCTATCTATCTATCTATCTATCTATCTACCTATCTATCTATCTATCTTACTATCTATGCTATTTGCTATCTATCTTCTCTTTCTATCTATCCTTTCTAATATCCCACTACTTCTCAGTCTGAAAACTTATGGAACGGCAGCTGACGTTAGCGTCGTGTTGACTTAAAAATTATGACACAGAAAGTCAGCAGGTAAAGTTGTTGAATTTTGACAGGAAAATAGATGTTTCAAGACAACTTTTGGCAAGATAACAAATAAGCCAAATCAAAGTCAACAGGCCACAACAGACAAGATGTTGGCTTATGATGGAGAAAATGCTATACACATACTGTATGTGGATCTCTGGAAGTAACACAAGTCAGTGGATATCTATGTCTCAACATGAAATGGCACATCCAAAGGAAGAGACAATCACTGTTACTTTTCTGTGTGTTGAATATATGAATGTGCAGAGATTAAACAAAAGTGAGTGAAAAACCCTGATTCAGATGGAGCTTGTGTCGGACAGAAGATGCAGAAGCAGGAAGAGGCCCACATTTAGACCAGGCAGACAACATGAGAGGACTGTCACACATGTTTTCATTTAACCCTTTACGAGATGTAAGGGTGTTGGAGAGGAATGGAGAAAATTGGATCCACCCCTTCAACAAATCTTTGTTTATGGCACAGGGGATTTTTGCTAAGTGGGCTAGACAGCATTCAAATACTATGGTAAGTTTTGTTATCCATTAGCAGTCTATTGCTCTAAATAATATCTGAAAGATGTACATTTTCAGACACTTTCACCATGTCCATACAATCTAAAAGACACTGCCACTAAACTCACTCATACCCTAGGACAGCATGTGGCACTGTTCACTTTTTTTTTTTTTTGCCAGAACAGATAAATAATTTAGCAGTTTGGATCCAGTCAGCCAAAATTGCCAAAGGCAAAAGTGCAAATTATGAAGAAATAGTGCTGGTTTCAGCTCAGAGGGAATGAATATGCTGGGAACAATCCATCACAACCATGGCATCTCACAATAGTGGAAAAAGAGGCTCCAGACTGGGGGGTGTGGGGTGCGCTGGGCCATGCCTGAATGAACAAAATGGGGTGCAGGAGGGCGGATTAGGGGGTGGAAGAAACCAACAGTAAAGTAACAGACAGAGAGGGGTGGAGAGGGGGATGGCAGAATGGAAAGGAAGGCAGGGAGGGGAGGAAAGCATTTTTTTTTTTTACAAAGTGTTTGTTGGAGTCCCTTCCACTCCTGAGAACACTCTGAGTGAGACAGGGGACAAGGAGGGTCAGTCTCTCTGATCAGGTAGGTGTGTGTCTTTGTATGTACATGCATGTGTGTGAACATGTGTCTGTCTGTCTCTTTGGTATCTTTCTATGAAACCTTATAGGAGATAAATAAACACATGATGATAGAGTCATATTTTTGGGGGGAGGGAGGGGACCCTCTTCTGCAGAAAAGGGTTATTATAGGATATTTTCCCACAATTCTGGTGCAACAGTGAGAACCATTCACAAAGCTGTTATTCATGGCCAGGTTTATCCTTTTTTCAATGCTTCCTCTCTGAATCCCCTGTGGATTAAGACCCCAAAGAATGTGCCTCTCTGCAGGCAGTTACATTTCCAAAACAAGGTCGGTCAGTGTCTGCACTGCACGTTCGACTGTTCATTTAACCTCAACAGGATAACAGCGAGCTTGGCTCAGTTTGTTCTCCAAAGGTGTGAGAGAAAGTATGCTTTTACAAAGTTTATTTTTTGACTTTTTGGTGGCTTAATGAATATTTTATTCATTTATTTTTACTAATCCAGTATCTCTCTCTCTCTATGTATACATGTATAGGAGAATAACTTGCCCTTGGTGGATACGGAGGATCAGCACAAGAGCACATTTTTACCATCAGTTTTCTCTAAACTTTACATTTGTCAAAGTGTTTAAAAATATCAGTCAATATCGCCCCATCAACAAAATAATTTTGTCAATTTGTGAATGACTATTTCTTCTTTCTCATCTAAATTTTATTACCATGTCTCTCTCTTTTTTTTTTGTTATTTTTATCTCTGTTAGATTACATTGAAGATTTGAGTGACTGTGACCATGCGACTGGTGATTGTCTTCCTCTTGTCTGCCCTGCTTCCACTCTCTCTCTCCCATGGACGGGACCCCTTCGCTTGGTTATACGGCTGGCAGAGCCAAGGATACTATTTTGGCTCCCTACAGGCAGACACCACAGGAGGAGAGTGTCCCGATGTGTGTGACTGCCCCCCCTCCTTCCCTACTGCCATGTACTGTGATGGGCGGGGTCTGACAGCCATGCCAACAATTCCCTCGCGTGTCAAATACTTGTACCTCCAAAACAATGCAATCACAGCTATGCCCGACTCGGCCATGATCAATGCAACCAATCTGGTGTGGCTCATGATGCACCACAACCAGCTGACATCTGAAGCCATTGGTAAAAAGGTAAACCTACATCTGGTCTGAGACAGATCTCAGAGTGTGATGCAGTGATGCTGGTCTAAATGGTTGTCAGATGGCTGGAAGGTGGTTTACATGTTGTGTAATTACAAAGGAAGTTTTTATTGCTGCACGTGTGAATGAACAAAATGTGAATTTTTATATTGTTATTTTTATGTTGTTTTTTTCCCCTCTGTAAAGCCTACACATCTGGTCTATAAATCACTTGTTTTGTGAAAAACAAAAACCAAGGAGGCATGAATACTGTATAATCTATCGTTTCATGATGCCAGTCCCCTATTTTTGCATGAACTTGTTGGAATATTGTTATTTATCTATCTACATCGGTGGAAAACATATTTCTATACAGCCAATCAAATCCCTTCATTTTGAACCACATTTGCACTAAAGAGTAATGTCATTCTGTCATAGGCTGATGGTTACACTGACTAAATCTCTTCACTCAGATGAGATGCCTATGTGTTCCTTATTCTTTAATACCGCAAACAACACACGGCACGACTTGTAAGCTACAGCACAAGCTTATTTACTCTGTCTCTCAATTATTAATACTTTTAAAAGATCACTGACATTATTTTTGGCAGCAAAAGAGATGACTTAATGTGATTTTGGATGGACTTTAAACTTTCTCATGGTGGGTTAAATTACTTTTGAGTTTACCATTGTGTACATGTTGGAGAGTTGCTCATTCTTCACATCCTTTTTAGGCATTTCTGAAGTTGGAGGGATTAGAGCGTTTATATCTACAACACAACAATTTGAACAGCATTCCTCCCAACCTCCCTCGCTCCCTGCGGGACCTGAGAATCAATCATAACAAGATTGAAAAGGTAATAATTTGCATGGTTTGATATTCATGCAGAGCCCCTCTCTGTTCTTGTTGATGACTTTGACCATACATCGGAGACATTAGAATTTAAAATCATTACACTGTTGCCTAGGTAACACCGGCAGACCTAGAGGGAATGGATAACCTCACTATCCTGTATCTCCATGACAATGCTGTCACAGACATGAGCACATCACTGAAGGCTCTGAAGTCTCTCACGCTGCTGGACATCAGTGGCAACAAGCTGACAAAGGTAATATGTGTGTTTGTATACGTCCCATTAAATGGACGGACAATCTTCAGTCTTCCCACAACATTTTCACTGACTGATCCCAGGTCCCAGAGGCTCTCCCTGAACATCTGCACCAGCTCTACCTAGAGTCCAACTCCATTGACTCTCTACCAGATGGCTTCCTGGGCCGTTTCACACAGCTGCAGTATGTTAGGATGGCCCATAACCAGCTAACAGACAAGGGTATCCCTCCCAACACCTTTAATGTGACTGGGCTGGTGGAGCTGGACCTGAGCTTCAACAAACTAGAGAGAATCCCTCCAGTCAGCACCACTCTGCAACATCTCTATTTGCAAGCCAACCAGATCAAAGGTAAACTGTGTAATATTCTAAATTTAATTTATCCATTAATTCTGCCTTTCCTATGTAAGCACCTCTTACTCTGTCCTGCGACTATAGAGTTCACTCTGGGTAGCTTCTGCAGCATTGTGGATGTGATGAATTTCTCCAAACTGCGGACACTGCGACTGGACGGGAACGAGATCAGTCGTCAGGACATCCCCTCAGATTCATCCCTGTGCCTGCGGCTGGCTTCCACCATTGAAGTCTAACTGTGTGTACGACACAGTTTGTAGCACTCTGCTCACCATCACATCTGACTTTACAACATGCACCATAATGTGAAACACATTATTTATGTGTACCAAAACCAAAGCACAGTAGGGTGATGATATAATTTAATATCAACAGCAGATGGCAGCAGTTATTATCCACAAGAGCAAAGACTGTCATATGTTTCAGTGATTTTTACACCATTTGGAGAGGCTTTGCCAGAGTCTTGAAAACGGCCTGTTCTCTGTTGAAAATTATATTATTATTCTCAATTAGATTTATCTTTATATGAAATTTATATGAAATTACAAATACACTACACTTACACTATACATTCTGTAAGACCAATACAATTTGTGAGCCACACGTTTCTTTTTTGCGCATTGAAAATAACCTGACCCTGATCCTCTTTATATGTTGCTGTGAGGATCAATGATCTTTGTATTTTGAAACTATAGCTGTCATTATTTCTCTTTATCTATCTCTGTCTTGCTTCATGTCTTTCATTGTTTTGTCTGATAAGCTGATGATAAACAGTGTGTATCATGTATGAGGTGAATTGTATAATTTCAAATCATTATCTGTCACAGAATACTAAAGCACAATAGTTTAGTGTCTGCTGCATGAAAATGCCTTTTTGCAGTTGGGTGCATTGTGCCAAATACTGTTTTTTTGTTTGTTTTAAAACAGGCTGTGACAGCCTGTTTCTGTAGAGGGTCCTCCTTTTGCACAATGAACTCAAATTTCCTTAGAGATATGAAAAATATCTTTGTACAATTTGAAAAATATCTTTATACTGTACTGTAGTGAATCAGACATAGAGAGGGCTTTGAGTGTTATGATTCTTGAGTTACTGTTTGCATTGCATGGATTATCATATTTATGTTTCCAAGCCTATTGCAGAGTAAATAAAGTTGAGATTTATAAGAAAAAAGACCAGTTTGCTTTTTGCCGTAACTGATCATGTAGTATGTACAGTACGCTATATTGTCATATCTGACAAACACACACACACACACACACACACACACACACACACACACACACACACACACACACACACACACACACACACACACACACACACACACACACACACACATACACACACACACACACAATGCGTGGGGCAGTGATTTTATGGACTGTAACACAGTTAGCTCAGAAAAGGGTCACAACAGTTTTGAGTGGATCTTGATTAATGCAATAAATGTGCTATCTAGGCTTAGGACACTGCCTGGTTGTTAAATACATGCATGCACTTCTTTACTTTATAACACACACTTTTAGAATATGTTTACATACATGTAGCAAAACTGTATGATTCTTTTTAAATACTGCATTATCTTTACCTGCTCACTGTAGATGTTGACAGTGGTCAGTAACTTCCTGCTCCACATTATTGAGGACAGTAGAGTACACACTTATGGACTGGTGCAAGGATTTAGAGGAAGCACAGGATGAAGTGGTGCTTTCAGTTTGGTTCTTATTTACACTCTGAACCCAAGGTTCACAATGAGGCAACTGAAGAGAGAAAAGCACAAAAAAAAATCCAAACTCTATAACTAATGGTAGTTTATATATTTAATAAAACAAATAGATAACACTTAGGAAAGCTCTTAAGACAAAGTTGCCACAAAGTTGTTGATAAAGGTAATGAACGGGAAGAGGAAGGAAAAAACTTTTGCACATTGCCATAATAACAAATATGTTGTTTTTTGACACTGTGTGAACTGATGGGTTGGAGGAGAGAAAGTCTTTTACTGAGATATTGGACACTTTAAATGTCAATCTTTCAACTGAAAAATCTAACACATACCAGCTTTACGAAATATCCTGACTCTTCATCCCCATCCATTCTTGTGACTGTTTGTTCCCCACAGTCATGTCATTTTATCTGTGAGAAACAGTAAAGACTTGGGTGCATGGGCAAGTGAGTCATATGGCTGTCCTGTCCAACTGGAGAGAGAGAGCTGATGTCAGGTCCCCCTGGTAAAACTGCTCAACAGCCATTTTCTTCTTCTCATTATCCCTCACGCTTCCTCATACTGCCTTGCCACACACTGATTCACCTTTTTATATGCCTCTGAATGGTCCGTGTCTTCACACAGAGGGAACAGATACTGTAGACAGAAAAACAAAACACACCTTCTTGATAAATTCATTATGCCTACCACCCTGTCTTCTAAGATGAACCATCTTGCTCTAAGATGGATTCATGGATGTGTGTTTGTCTGCCTCCGACCATGTGAAAAGTGGTGAGCTGTTGGATCAGGGCTGAACCCTCTATGTGTCAGCTGGCCAAGACACAGCATGTCTATATTTACAGTATTTTTCTCTCTGACTATGCTTTGTAATCTGTGGCCGCACCAGCAGATAACGTCATTACAGCTAATGTATATTATAGGTTTATAGTGGTTAGGCTGCGGCTGCACGTCATTGACCAAAATGGCTCCTAGCCTAAAAGAGCATCAAGCTGAGATCATTGCATACAGACACTGAGCAGAGATAAAGCCCTCGCCCTGTCTGTGTAAATGCAAAGAGGTCATTGATGACTGATGATACCGCTCGCTCGCAAATTAAAACTTCCAAGCTTGGTAATCAAAAAAGGAGGAACTGTGTAACTGCTGAGTGATTTTAATCATGGAGAAGCACAGTGATGAGAACATATGCCTCACTTCCTGTTGTTGTTTTTTGATAGCGAAAGTGAACAGATGACAGAAAACGAGGAGAGAGGGAGAGATGCGACAAAGCCCCCTAGCTGAATTCAAATCAGGGATGTTGTGGTTCATAGTCAGCACCTTCACCGCTAACCCACCAGGGCACCATTCAATAATCAATTTTAGGTTCATAAGCCTAAATAAAGGCATCCAAACATGATTTTTGTAGCATATATTAAAGACTGGATCAACTGTAGCAGGAGCCAAAACCGAAATAATCTAATAATTTGTTGGACTTTTCTTGATCCATTAAACATGTGGGGGGGAAAAAGTTTATCTATATGTAAAAAGAGAGGCAGGCTAATAATGATAATAATAATAATAATAATCTCTTACCACAACAGAGAAAACATATTTACACAGAGGAAGACAACTATTTTACAGCAGCACAAGAAATCCCATTCATTACCTTTGGTTCTATTAATCACCTCAACACTATTTGAGAAATATGAGGGGACAGTACACTCATAGTTTATAAAGATGGAATTAACTCAACATGTGATGGGATGTGTGTGTGTTTATCTGTGTATTGCAACAACCTGTTGATTCATGAGTAGTTATTTATCTCTCTGTGTCACTGGTAATAATATTTTGGTCACATCATCAGACTACGATTACAGGCAACACAGACGTACGCAAGCTAACAGTACAGTCATTATGTGGAGATGTCATTGACCAAAATGAGATCTATCCATAATCAGTCACAGCAGTGGCTTAAAGGAGTAGTTGTTAACACGTGGTTACTGGCACAGAGTCACTCACCTGAGTCACATGCACACCACATAGCAATCACTGTGTTGTGTTACTGGATGCTACTGCTCCACTGTTTTGTCCATTTATCAGTACAGATGATATGAAGTTGTTATCACTCCTGCAAAAACCTGTGAGGAGGAATCATAGACAGTGTGTGCTTATTTTAGGAGAGTGACATTGTACAGCAGAAATGAGATCCACAGGATCTAGGGTCAGAAATCCTGCCTTTATTACTGAGAGCAACGTTAACCAGCTCTGTCTATCAGATCAAGTGGGTTTAGGTGAGTCACTAATATTAGCAAGAGGGACACTTCCTTCACTCATGTGCATTAAATCATCATTCCCGTTAAAAGAAAAAAATAAGTGTACACACAAAATCAGGTCCAGGGAGTTGTGGGGGAGGTGTCTGGGCAGGTGTCTGGGCAGGTGATTGGTTGGATAACATCACTCCCTTGTCTGTTAGAGGGGGGGGGGGCGCTTTAAAACAGACCTACCTGAGCAATTTGAATTTCTTATCCAGACCTTTAACAAGCAGATGAAAGGAGATGAGGAAATACGGCTGGAACAGTTTCAAGGATTTAATTTTCAGAAATCCCGCAGTTGTCGACCAGGTAGGATTGCAAACCTGTTTGACCAGACTTTCACTCGATAATTTACCACACAATAGTTACACTCAATACAACTGAGGAATTAGATGCTTGCCTGTATTTGTGATCAAAAATCCAACATAAATCTGCCAAGGAACACAAAACAAAACACATCCAATCCACTACACTCGAAACTTAATGTGACACAAAAATCATTGGAAATAATTACAATACATCCCATGATATCAGTATATTTTGAAGGTGTTATAAAGAGGAAATATTTGTTTTCTAAAATGTACTGTTCTCACAACAGTTATTTTTCTTAAGAGGTTCCAGGCACAGAAGATAAAATATGACACATATCACAACTTTTACCAATTTTATACATTTTGAAACTTTTCAATGAGCAGGATCCACACGTGGATAATGGGGATGAGAACCCTGAACGTGGGAACTGGACAAGCAAAAGGGAGTACATCCTCTCTACAATCGGCTATGCCGTTGGACTGGGAAATATCTGGAGATTTCCATATTTGGCCTACAAGAATGGAGGGGGTACGTAAGGTATTTGGTGTCTATTCCATTCGTTTTAGGAAACACAATTGATAAAATTGCTGTTATTATAAATAACATAAACATACATTAAGTTTCTCTTATTTCGCGGCCACCCTTTTGAACAGGTGCCTTTCTCATCCCCTATTTTGTGATGTTGGTGGTGACTGGAATTCCACTTTTCTTCCTGGAAAGTGCCTTTGGTCAATTCTGCAGCCAAGGTCCAATTAACACATGGAGAGCAGTGCCTTTATTGCAGGGTAAGACTCCTGTTTAAGTTTTGTGAAAGATCAGTTGGGTACATCTGAAGGTGAAGTTGTCAGATATGAAGAATTTAATGAGGCTGTTGATTAATGGTCAACTGTGCAAACTAAAACCCAGTCCATTTTTGACTTCAGATGAGCTCTTGGTTGTTTGGGTTTAAGGTTTTGTGTCCATAAATAGACAGAGCTACCGTGATTACTGTGGCTACAAAGATATGTTCAAAACATGTTTAAAATTTACTCAAAATTCACGCTCTACTTAAACTAAAGGTGAGAGTGAAGTAAAGGGGAAAACAGTAAAGTTCTTGAAGTACACACACAATTGTACTAAGGAGTCTAGTTGAATTGTTCCCCTCTGAACACTGAGCTGTAAAGGTTTTGGGAGGAGACGGCTGAGTTAATATGATCGCTGCTTACAGGCTGTGAAGATAAAGACACTGGCTGGTCACCAGTTACTTTTTCACATTTGCCATTTAAAACTTTTTATTAGCACCCTCCATGTTATGAAGTTAATGTTCTCTGGAGTATAAGGTAGAGACTCTAACTTAGTTTATTTAAAACCTTCCTCTTTACAAAGACAACTGTAGTTTTCAAGGCAGTCGAAGGCACCTACACATGAAGTGATAAAATTAACAATATTTTAGAGAGGCTTTTCATGAGAACATTCTTCACAGCAACAGTTACTTACAACTTCTCTCTACCTCTACAGGTGTTGGCATTGCCATGGTTATGGTGACTCTAATAGTATCAATTTACTATAACATCATCATCGCCTACAGCTTGTACTACATGTTCGCCTCCTTCCAGTTTCCTCTGCCGTGGTCCAGATGCTTCAGCAGTGTTGACCGTAACTGCAGCGACACGCCAATAGGTGCTGTTTTCATCCCTGTTCTGCTGATTTGTCAATCTCATTGGGTGGGGTTACATGAAATAATGATGAAAAAGGGATATAATTTGATGTGAATGATAGTTTATCAAAAGCAGGAACTGTGCTATTTTTTTTTTTAAATCAGTCACACCAGTGAGTCTTATATCATTCTAGAGAAATTAAAGAAGCTTAAAACCACTTCAGATCAAACCTGTATTACATAGACTGATATTTTAAACAACCCTTTCACTGGTCCTCTCTCCTTGGTGTTTTAGTGGCCAACTGGACTGAGGAAAACATCACTGATCCTTCAACTGACATGGTCTCAGTTTCAGTGCAGAGTCCAAGTGAACAGTACTGGGAGTAAGAATCACACAAACAAGCACAAATTTACACACACTTGTCATACTGCAGTGTCTGTACAGCCAGATGTCTCTCCTCCTCAGTCTCGTGGCTCTGCAGAGATCCAGTGGTCTAGATGAAACAGGACCAATAGTTTGGCACTTGGCCCTCTGTCTGCTGCTGAGCTCCATACTTGTTTCTGCAGCGCTCATCAGAGGCATCAAGTCATCGGGAAAAGTACGTCATCAACCTATTCATATTCATGTTCTTATACACAGTTTGTCCAGCTCCTGAGCCAAAACATACAGTATATCAAGCCCACTACAAAACATCAACAGCAAAGGCAAATGTGGTGTAATACAACACCAGGTCCCTGGGCCCCAAACTTGGAGGCCCCCAGTTCCCAGTCCGCTCTCCTCACACTCGTAATCCGAGGTTTTAAAAAACACCTGTAGCTTGTACAGGATTTACACTGACAGGCTACAACCTATGATCACAACCCGAAGAACAATATAAACACCTGTAGATATATTTCATCATACAGGATTTACAATACATGATTGAAACAATGCTTTCCTGAGTCAGGAATACGTTCCTGCTCAGCTGAACTACCGTTAGTGGCTGTTGCTGTTTGCAAATATATTAACTCCACATGTATTCGTTTCGTATTTCAAAATACAAACGCTCAATTAATTTATGTGGGATAAGGCCACAGTTAGTGGGGCTTTGGAGGTTCCCTAGAGGTCGGAGGCCACCGGGACACCAGCCCAGTCAGACCTGTGGATAATCCATTATAATACATGAATGGGATAATCCAACGGAAGCAATCCTCCCCTCAGACTCCATGCAAAGAGCTACAAGCAATGTACACACTTGTCATCATATTCTAGGGACAACTACCTTTAGACTGGAAATTTGTATGAATATACAAATTTACATGAAGAATACATGAAGAAAGGAAAAGGAACAGAGGCAAATGCTAATTGCAATATAGCACACACATTTGCATATGTAGGGCCTTACACATTTCTCGATTTAAGCTTGAAACTCAGCACCAAGAACAGGAAATGCAACTGATTTCATTATTTTTTCACAATGCTAACTCTTGGCTTTTGTCTCTTTAGGTTGTGTATTTCACAGCCACATTTCCTTATGTGGTGATAATAATCCTGCTGATCAGAGGTGTGACACTAGAGGGAGCTAGAGATGGGATAGAGTTCTACATTGGTTCCCAGTCTAATCTGACTAAACTGACTGAAGCAGAGGTAAGAAACCTGCCTTGCTTGTTGCTTGCTTGCTTTGTTCTGTTTTTTGTTTTTTTAAATTCAAAACATGACTGTGTTTTTTTTAGGTTTGGAAAGATGCAGCAACTCAGACTTTCTACTCTCTCTCTATTGGCTGGGGTGGAGTCATGACTCTTGCTTCCTATAACAACTTCCACAACAATGTGTTCAAGGACTCATTTGTAGTAACACTTACTAATGCAGGTGAGAGCAAATTGTTTGCATGAAGTTCATATATTTTTATGTTTTTAAAAGTCATATAGGATTTATAGTAGGCTAGTCTTAATGCCTGCATGCACAGTCGCAGGCAAACGGTTGTCATTGTGTCCAGAACAGGATGCTTGCCAATCCTGTCTCAGGCATGTGGCTCATTTCAAATAAGGGAAAGTATTGTGTTCTTCTATTGTATTAAATGACTTTAAATATATTATCCCAAAGATCACTAATCCATTTTACTATTTTTACCTTTTCCCAGGCACCAGTGTGTTTGCAGGCTTTGCCATATTTTCAATTTTGGGCCACATGGCTCACATCTACAAAATGCCAGTTGGACAAGTTGTAAAGGAAGGTCAGACAGACACACCATGTGGGCACCAATTAGTGAAAATGTGGAAGACTGGCAATTGGCCTCTGATCTTATGCTTCTTTGTCTTCGTGCAGGGTTTGGCCTGGCATTCATTGCATATCCAGATGCTTTGTCTAAGCTTCCCATTTCCCCTCTGTGGTCCATTTTGTTCTTCTTCATGCTTCTGACTGTTGGTCTGGACTCCCAGTTTGCAGGAATAGGTGAGATGTTATGCTGCCATTTACTGTTTTATTTGAAAAACATTCAGACCACTGCTGTTTTGGTAGATTGCTGTGTCCTCAAATCTCTTCTTGTCTTTAGAGGTGATCTCCACCTGCCTGTTAGATGCTTTCCCAAACGTCTTCAAATCCAAGCGTGCCTTACTGAACGTAACGACATGTGCCATCCTCTATCTCCTTGGCCTACCGTGTGTCACACAGGTAAAGCGCGCCTAAGTATAATTTTGTGTCCGACGTAGAGTTGACCTGCTCAGGCCATGTGTGTGTGTTTGTGTGTTTGAGATAGGCAGGAATATACTGGGTAACTCTAATCGACCAATTTGTTGCAAGCTGGGTGCTGCTAATTTTGGTCCTCTTGGAGATCATTGGTGTCTGCTACATATATGGTAAATATGATAATTGGACATATGTGCATGTAAAGGTGACAAGATAGCTTTGGTCTCCAGCCGTGTTCTCGTGCTTTACAGGAGGGAACCGTTTCATTAAAGACATTGAGATGATGCTTGGACATAAGAGTTTCACTTTCTGGTTATGGTGGAGAGCATGTTGGTTCTTCATCAGCCCCTGCATCATAGTGGTGAGTACAACCTTACACAAAAGATTCACTCTGTATTAATGCCTTGTTTGGGCATTTACTTATATCTATGTAGATGGGTGATGTTGCCATCACAGGAATTTAATCAAGAAGTTTTGTAATGACAAGTGGCAAAACGTGGCTGGATATCACACTACATCATGTTAATTCTCTCTGTTGTCTAGGTGATCCTGATCTGGTCTCTGATGACATTTACACCACCCCACTTTGGAGGAGTCCAGTTCCCAGTCTGGGGCTTGGCTCTGGGCTGGTGCATGGTTGTATTCATCCTATTCTGGATCCCTGTTGTTGCTTTGTATAAGCTGATGAGAACAAAGGGAAACCCATGGAAGGTGTGTGTGTGTGTGTGTGTGTGTGTGTGTGTGTGTGTGTGTGTGTGTGTGTGTGTGTGTGTGTGTGTGTGTGTGTGTTATGATACCTGGAAAAAGCATTGAAATGTTGCTCAGCTTCAGATTGTTTGCATAGATGCCAGGAAGAGGTCTCTAGAAAAAAAAACATACCCATATTCACAATCCTAATCTCTTACTTTCCACAGCGTCTGAAGTCATTGTGTTCTCCATCCGAAGAATGGCATCCCTACCTGGATGTCCATCGAGGACAACGCTACTCAGAAGAACGCTGCCGCCACAGGAAGAAACACACAAACAGACCAGAAGTAAATGTAGATGTAATCACTAGCTCATGGCTCTGATGTGTCTTTTTGTCGTGTTTACTTGTCAATTTCTTTCCTTTGGTGGAGCAGTGTTACTCGGTGAACACCTTGTACTGAAAGTTAAAGCTGCTTTGATGAATTTTTTACCTCCGGGAGGCAGAGAGAAACTCAAATGCGAACCCATTACAGATACAAATATCTAATGGCTGATGTGATCGATCAGTCGCCTATGGTTCCAGCAGAACCATGCCAACGTGTGCATCTTTTTGTAATCATCTTCCTTTGGTTTGGCCCACTCTCTTCAGGGAGAAATATACATTACCTGTCGGGACAGGTAGTATGCAACAAAGTAACGTGAGGTTGTGTGTTTACAGTGAAAGATGGATGCTTTCATGTTAAAGGGAATCATTTGATTCAATTTATTTACCAAAAATATTACATAATGGGGCTTTAGATTCAGGTAGTGTTTCTTATTTCTTCAGTGATCCATGGGGTTTTTTATTAATTCAATCTTTCATCCATAATGTTTAATTTTCTATCAGTAGACAACTTGTGTTTCAATAACCATGCTTGTCTTTCAATATCAAGTGCAGTTTCTTGTTAATTAACTAAATGCTCTGTTCCTCACCTCTGATATTCTACAATAAATAACTTCTTTCTGCTTCTCTATTTTGTGGTGAAATTATTTAGAATGACTAGAAATTCAACGTGGATTAAGCAAACAAAAGCACTGAATGTCAAACTGTTTTAAATGCCATATTCATTTAGTTCAGGTATTGCTATTTGTGTCAGTAAAGCTTATCTCACATGGGCTCCAGTGACAGGGTCTTGTGTTACACAATCCATCGCCCATCTTAGCAACAACCTTTCTTATCTGTTTGTCTCTTTATCTAGATAAGTATTGCATATGTTAAGTCATGTCTGTGTGTTAGCAGTTATTCCTACGAACAGGTTGCATCGCTGTCTGTCAATGTCTTTGCTAACATTGAGGCAACTAAAGTCACAAACATAGTTTGAGCCCAAAGCAATGGCATATACATTTTTTTTTTTTTATTGGGATTTAACATGGTAAAAAATTTCATTTTCCACAATAGGTAAGTTTGGCATGCAAGCTCATGCTATCGTTCCATCAATAGCCTTTACAAAGCAGTGGGAACAAATTTTACTTCCCAATGCACAGCCCTCAGCAGTAGCCCATATAACCTACCATATGATAGAGCTGAGTTTTGTCAGTAGACTCTTGGATAAACAGAAAAATTTCCCCGAGACAGGAACATGACCAGTTGAACCAGAATGTAAATGCAGTGGCTGGTGTGTGTTTAGTGCTTCAAGCAGGAGAGTCAAAACTCCAGGGAAACTGAAGATATTTCACGGATGATAAAGTAAGTAACATAGCTATCTATTTATTGTTTATTTGGTAAGGCCACAAAGGAAATTACCCCTGATTTAATTGTATCATCCTTGTCATCTTGTAGTTGCGTGTAGTTTACTTCTCAACCACTGCAGCATCGACATTATTCACTGCTATAGAAGGAGCTGTCTCAGGTCCTATAAAATGTGTACTGTTGATTTTGGGATCTGTGGGTGTGAGATAGAGACAACAAGATGATTCACAGTTAAATAGTCTTATTATTTAATATGGGGCAATCAACAAACGCGTTTTAGCTATAAGCCATCATCAGCGTAAGATAGAGACATTTGTTATCCAGCATTTAATGATGTGACAGTTCACAGCCTATGGACTCATATGTGTGTGTGTGTGTGTGTGTGTGTGTGTGTGTGTGTGTGTGTGTGTGTGTGTTTGTGTGTGTGTGTGTTTGTGTGTGAAGGTATCATGAAGGTGCTGCAGGGATCGAGAAGATAGGGTTACCAATGCAATGCACTCTTAATAGCATTTTCTAAAAGTTAAGGCTGGATGTAGGAGACCTGTCTCCACTTTTTATTATGTCTATTGCAAAGTTTGTCATTTATGTATGTTGAGTAGCACTGGGCTGTTATGAGAGGAATTTGAATTTGAATTTTCTTCTACAGACCATCAGAAGCAGATGAAAAGACATGTGGAAATATGTCTCTAAGATGTCCAAGGACTCTGCTATTCTTTCTGATCCGGTAGGATACAGTATATGGGTTTTATTTTCACATTGTTACTGTTACGGTCACAACAGAATCATTCGGTTTGACCTCGTGACACATAAATATGGCGCTATACCTATTAAACGAAAATCATTTTATTTATACATAATTAGGCATGTTTATTCATCAAAAATGACGTTTGCTCCAAAACTATAAATGTTTATAAATGTGTTTACCCTTCCCAGAAAGCTATCATTCAATGGATGAAGTTATAAATGAAAAACCAGTAAACCTTCCTGCAATCACATAGATACTTTCAGCAGGAAGTGTGATTAATAACATCTATTATTATTGTTATTGTACTTTTCCTGTAGTTACAAGTTAAAATGTCTCCTGTGGAGAATCCACAGCAGTGGATCTTGTTGGTTAGTTTCCCCCATCTTTGGCTCAAGGTGTTCATCAGTCAAATCAGCAACTATTTGGTTAGAATGTAAACATGTTAATGGGTAATTAGGCTTAATAGTTTTCATGTTGATTTATACCCGAGACAATATCTTACAACTTGTAAAATTCTGGTTTTTTTCAGCAGGGCTCCCACATGGCTGATGGTGATGAGAATACTGGGCGTGGAAACTGGACCAACAAGAGAGAATATATCCTCTCTATGATCGGCTATGCTATTGGCCTGGGAAATATCTGGAGATTTCCATTTATAGCCTATAAGAATGGAGGAGGTGATTATTTGGCATCAGTGTTTAGAAAATCACTTTTGATAACACTGTTGTAAAAATGAATATTCTGAAAACTTACTTCTATCTCTGTGAGCAGGTGCATTTCTCATTCCCTATTTCGTGACGTTGTTTCTCTGTGGAATCCCTTTTTTCTTCCTGGAAAACGCCATCGGTCAGTTCTGCAGCCAAGGTCCAATCAACATGTGGAGAGCAGTGCCGATACTGCAAGGTGAGCCTGAAAGAAGTACTGCTAAACAATCCCACACTGAAGACCAAGATATTAAATGTGACTGCCATTTACAGTTGGTAAACATTTAAATCCTCAAAATCAGAAGTAGAATCCAAATGTGAGAGATTTCCATAAATTTATGAAATTATTGTAAAAAGATAGATAGATAGATAGATAGATAGATAGATAGATAGATAGATAGATACTTTATTTTTTTTTTAAAAAAGGGCTGCAACCACTGTATCAGTTATTTTTAATTTGGTGAATTGATGAAATCTTTAGTTTATAAGATGACACAGTGGTGGAAAATGTCTCTGGCAAGTTATTGTTGGAAATACTCACATTTGAGAAGTTAGAACTGTAGAATTTGGTAATTTTGATTATATCTCTGTGTTACTACATTTTGGAGGGAAATATTTTTACCTTAGTACTTTTTACTGCCCTATATTGATCTGACCTGCGATTTACTCATGACTTTGCAGAGTAATGACTTTCTGCCTATCACTTAATAGCAGTATCAAGTTAGGGCTCCTTGTCATGTTTCAGATGTCTAAGTTGATAGCAGTTCCACCAAAGAGACATTTCCCCTTTATACTACACATGGTCATCACATATATATATATATATATATATGTATTACAAAAACAGATAAAAGTCTTAAAGGAGCTATTTGTTCATTTTGCTATCGCTACATAGCATCAACTACATAGTATCAACAGAGCCTACCAGTCTTGCCAAGAGCTTAAGCTGTGGTTGCACTTACAAGACAAGAGGTTATAATACACCCTCTGAGCACTTCTTATTCAGGGCAGACTGCACGCTACAGTGACTCGGTATCGGAAAGTGATGAGATAGTCCAACCAGGCTGGGGCTTGCTGGTTAGCATGCTAACTTCAGTAGAAGAAAAGAAGTGACAGAAATAGAAGCTAAACAAGAGGGTTGCTTTACACTGCTGGAGACAGCTCTTTCTGAGTAAAGGAATAAAGTTAGATGTTGAACTGATAACATTTGTTTTAGACTGGTAAGTAAATGACGAAATTGGCTAATGTTGGCAAAACTTACAAATAGGTTCAATTATTTGATTGTTTCAGGATCTGAAAAGATACGAGAGAGAGAGAAAATGACAGTTTGTGATTTCAGAGCTCAGTGGGGTCATATTGCATTATAATCTGTTATCTTCCTCAGGTGTCGGCTTTTCCATGGTTACGATGAACACATTTGTGTCAATTTATTATAACGTTATCGTCGCCTACAGCCTGTACTACATGTTCGCCTCCTTCCAGTTTCCTCTGCCGTGGTCCAGCTGCTTCAGTAACTGCAGCACGATGTCAATAGGTGCTGTTTTTTATTTCCTATTCTTGTGAAGGGGTGTGTGTGCAAAGTATTCTCACAACTATTTAAGAAGTGCAGTTCATTGTCTTTTATTTGTATCAAGCAGGATAGACTCTGTAATGTAAACGCTGCGTCTTGGGATCTAATGCTTGTATACACCCATAATATAGACCGATATTTTAAACAAGCCATTCACCTCTCTCCTTTTCTAGTGTCTTGTAGTGTAAGTGGTGTTTTAGTGGCCAACTGGACTCAGGAAAACACTACTTGTCCTTCATCTGACATGGTCTCAGTTTCAGTGCAGAGTCCAAGTGAACAGTACTGGGAGTAAGAATCACACAAACAAGCACAAATTTACACACACTTGTCATACTGCAGTGTCTGTACAGCCAGATGTCTCTCCTCCTCAGTCTCGTGGCTCTGCAGAGATCCAGTGGTCTAGATGAAACAGGACCAATAGTTTGGCACTTGGCCCTCTGTCTGCTGCTGAGCTCCATACTTGTTTCTGCAGCGCTCATCAGAGGCATCAAGTCATCGGGAAAAGTACGTCATCAACCTATTCATATTCATGTGTCTCATTTGTGAAAAATAACAGAAAATTACAGTACCATGAATCTCATTCATTAAACACCACATTCACAGCTGCACAGAGAGAATTCTCTCTCTCCCACTTTGAGAATTCAGACATATTAATCCTTGAATTTCTGGTGCTGTGCAGGAACATACACTACATGCCATGGTTCATACATTCATTTGGTTAAGCAGTGGTGATATGGTACACCATATGCTAAAGACAGGTTGCTTATCCTGCTCATTGTACTCGTGGCAACTTTACATCTCTTTTCTATTTTACATCATTTACATTTCTCTGTGGTCAGCTCACAAGTCCATTGAATGACTTCGAGACTTTTTTCTCTCCAGGTTGTGTATTTCACAGCTACGTTACCGTATGTGGTGATTTTGATCCTGCTGATCAGAGGTGTGACACTGGAGGGAGCGCAAGATGGGATCGAGTTCTACATTGGTTCACAATCCAATTTGACTAAACTGACAGAAGCACAGGTAGGAGTCCAGCTATCCCAATGTAAGACATTACAAAAGTAGGCATACATTTCCAAAATATGTCATAAATCACTCTTGAAAATATGGTGTGTTTTAGGTCTGGAAAGATGCAGCAACTCAGACTTTTTTTTCCCTGTCCATTGCATGGGGTGGTATTGGGACCCTTGCTTCCTATAACAACTTCCACAACAACATGTTTCTGGATTCAGTTGTTATAACCCTCATTAACCATGGTAGGAAAACACCATTTCAGTTGAAAGCAAGTTTATTTATTTTTGCAGCTTCACTATTGAGAAAAAAATGTCAATCTAAGTATTTGTATTAAATATTCAATCCACTATGTGTACATTTTGAAAATTCCTCACTTAGGCGTTACCAGGTGGTAGTATAAAAAAAGACACTGTGGAGCCACTGCAGTCCAGCGGGTCCACTGCTCATTACAGCTGAAGCTTTCATTTTCTGTAGTAGACAAAAGCCTTGAGGAAATGGTTTGGGTCTCACCCTTTTACACAGGAAGCTCTCCTCGGGTTGAGTAACTTCATCCTGGTTACCTGACCAGGTATATATAAAGCTCCAATATGTGTGAAAAAGAGCATATTATCTTTATATTGATTAGTCTATGTGGCTGTTTTCAACCCCTCCCAGGTAGCAGCGTGTTTGCAGGCTTTGCCATTTTTTCAATTTTGGGTCATATGGCTCACATCTATGGAAAGCCAGTTGGAAAAGTGGTGAAGGAAGGTAAGACACCCATAATACCACTGAACCTTAAAGAATGACAGCTGTATGTTCTCTGATGTTTTGGTTTTCTGTCTTCATTCAGGGTTTGGCCTGGCATTCATTGCATATCCAGAGGCTCTGGCTAAGCTTCCTGTTTCCCCTCTGTGGTCTGTCCTGTTCTTTTTAATGCTTTTCATAGTTGGCCTGGACACTCAGTTTACACAAATAGGTGAGATTGTGACTTACCAGTGGCTTGGATGTTATACCCCGCTAACTGGCATAAATCTAGAAACTTAACCGAACCAATAGGATCTGTAGAAAAAAATCCCTGTTTACCATTCAGTTGGTTCATCGATTCTCATCCCTCCTCTTGTCATTAGAGGTGATAACCACCTGCTTGTTTGACGCCTTCCCTGAAATCTTCAAATCCAAACGGGCCGTACTGACTATAGGGACATGTGTCATCGTCTTCCTCTTGGGCCTGCCATGTGTCACAAGGGTACAGTAGGTCTGCCAACACTGAATCTATTACCACTGCCTGATATTGTTACCATGATGACCTATAGTGCCTCTGTGTGTGTGTGTGTGTGTGTGTGTGTGTGTGTGTGTGTGTGTGTGTGTGTGTGTGTGTGTGTGTGTGTGTAGGCAGGAATATACTGGGTAACTCTAATCGACCAGTTTGCTGCCAGCTGGATAATGCTTATTGTGGCTTTCATAGAGGTCATTGGCCTCTGCTACATATACGGTAAATATAAAGCTTAAGAATCAGTGAGACAGCTTTCTTTTGCCCTCAGTTGTGCACATGCTTGTTCGTGTCATGCATTATAGGGGGGAACCGTTTTATTGAAGACATTGAGATGATGATTGGAAATAAAAGCTTCTGCTTTTGGCTGTGGTGGAGAGCATGTTGGTTCTTCATCAGCCCCTGCATCATTCTGGTGATTACAACTTAAATTTTGTTCTTTTCTTTTACATTGTTGAAGAAAATGCAACCTGTAATACATTTACTTCATTGTCTAGGTGATCTTGTTCTGGTCTCTGATAAACTTTGCCCCCCCCACCTATGGACAAGTCCACTATCCAGCCTGGGGCTTGGCTCTGGGTTGGTGCATGGTTGCAGCCATCCTCATCTGGATCCCTGTTGTCGCTGGTTACAAGCTGATAAAAGCAGAGGGAAGCCTCTGGAAGGTGCATTTGTTGTCTCCTATAAAACAAGATACATTTACAGCAGGCTGAGATTTTTACTTCTGTAGAGGCAGTGATGCTCCACTAAGTGTGCACCCATACTCATGATCTTCTATTTGTGCCACACCTTCCGCAGCGTCTGAAGTTTTTGTGCTCTCCTTCAGAGGATTGGCATCCCTACCTGGACATCCATCGAGGAGAACGTTACTCAAAAGAACGCTGCCGCCAGCAAAAAGCAGTGTCAACAAATGATAAACAAATGTAAATGTAACTTCCAGTTCATAACACTGATTTGTACTCTGATGATTTACAGATATATTACATATAACACTGTATTGTTGGTTGGTCTGATAAGGTCCGGGATTCAGAAGGAACAATGTTAAACAAAATGCAAAACTAAGACTGTAAGTTGTAACTGTAGTTTGCCTTTGAGTGCTTAAAGCTCCTCTTGTTTTCATTCTCTCAAGAGCTCCATCTGGTGGACATCAGGCCCCTAAAACATCAGCAAATGCTACTCAAAATAACATGTGACATCCACAGTATAGTTTTAAATCCATGTTTAGATTTACATATGTGTGTGTTAAACTCTTTGGTAACAGGAATACATTTATATTATAATATATTAAGATTTTAAAAGGCGAACTGGGAAGGTGATATCGGGATTTTAACTCTTGAAAGATAATGCCTTTATTCCTTTGCTTTATTTCATCCTCCTTCTGTTTGAATTTATCTTATTTTATTTGAGTCAGGCACGGGGTGATACAGTAGAGACATTGAGACTAGACTAGTATTTATGTTGAGAATTTATACCATTCATAAGATGTTATCCAAAGTAGTGGTGTGTGTGTGTGTGTGTGTGTGTGTGTGTGTGTGTGTACATGTGTTTTAGTGAAGATATGTACTTATGTGTGTTGTCTTGCCTGTGTCATCCTGCTACTATATTTTTGTTGCTTTTATGCTGAATTTCGTCATGGTTTTATCTGCATTGACAATTACTGCAAGAAGAGTGAGTGATATCACGACCATCAAGAGCAGAAAGTGTGCGTAAGTTGTGATGCCTACCAAAGAGTTGGTTACTATGTCATGCCTTAGTAGGGCGCCCAAACTTTTGCACAGCCACATTTTTAATTTTAATTTATTTCTACTTTTTAAGTTCAGGAAATAAAAAGTAACAATGCATTAACACTTGAAGGCTCATTTTCCATGTCTGTTAGCTGCAAGGGCTGTATTTACTTCTTTTCACTTCAAAAATCACCAAAATATATGGACTTTGCTCGGGAGTGCCCAAACTTTTGCATACAAATGTGTGTCCTAGGTGTCAGAACTTTCTTGCTGTGTTTCTCATGCAAGTAGCAGTGTAAGAGAAGTGAACAGATGAAGAAGTGTTTTTTGCTGCTCATGTTTGATATTTGTAGTTGATCATCGATGGATAATGTATTTTTTCTTTGCTCATTTGTGGTTTTATGATTTTGAAGAGAAACATACATGAGACACACAACCATCAGAGATTTGATTTTGTTGCTTATTTATTCAGATTAAATCAATGAGGTGTTTCAGAGCTGTTCTTGAATGGGCCTTAGCTGGATGGTCTGATGTTACATGATAGTTGACCCAACTCCTAAATTAAGAACAATCAGTATAAAGTTCTGCTGTGGATCATTTAAGCCCAGTTGCAGCACTTGCAGCTAGTGTCGAACACCAGGCCGACGGCGCAGTGCTGGACATAGGTTTGTCCCTGGTTGCACTCATAGAAGTGGTTCTTGCTGGTTGGGTCTGGGTAGAGTCCGTTAGACTTTCCAGCGCAGAAACCAGATCCTGTGCTGCCGCCACCACTGCTGCCGCCACCGCCAGGCTGGGGCTGAGCCTTGGTTGGAATGATTGGAGGCAGGGGCTCAGGACGAGCACTGCATGCTGAGGAGAGAAATGAAAGATGTTAAGAGATTGAAACGTTCTCATGTGGAATGAGGAATTGTGGCTCATACATACCAGACCCAGTTCCGAGGCCACTCTTGAGGGTGTTGATCAGAGGGTATTTTCCCTGGCCACAGAAAGTGCCGGTGAAGTCATCCAGATCCAGACTCCACACCATGGCTCCACCAAAACCACTCTGCTTCAGCCACTGAATCTGCAGAGTGGATGAGAGGTGAAACCAAGTGTTAACTACAGCGAAAAAAAAACAAAACAAAAGTTGGGGACATGAATGTGACTAATGATATTCAACTTCTTACCTTAACCTGGAAGCTCTTCACATTGTCATATCCAACCCAGGTACCCTGGTGGTAGGCATATGGCACATCCTGGACGGAGTCCCAAGCCTGGGTGGCTCCCTGCTTCAGGAAAGTGCAGATCTGATGGCAGGGAGAAAATTAAAGTTAAGGATCTGCACAATACATATACATATGTTGTCCTGTCTTACCTATGAATGCACATAGATTCAGAAAAAAGAAGCACCTACCTCATAGTAGGCCCAGAAGCCGGTCTGACGGGTGAAAGGTCCAGCAGGTCCAGGTCCACTGGCGGGGGCTCCCACAGCTGTGTTAGAGGAAGCCAGGCGGAAGGTGTGGCCATAGGTGGGGAAACCAACCAGCAGCTTCTCAGCTGGGACACCATTGCTCTTCCAGTAGTTCATGGCATAGTCCTATACACGAGAGAGTCCAGACCAGCATGAGCATCTTGTTCCTTAATGTAATTTTTTATTAATTTACAGCAGGAGCAAATTGTAATACAGAAACATAACGATTCACTCACCACATTGAAGTAGATCATGGATCCCTGGTCAGCGGGGCCCTTGTACAGAGGACTGTTCTCTCCAACGTTGTGCTCCCAAGAACCATGGAAGTCATAGGTCATGACGTGGAAGTAGTCCAGAACACTGGGAAACAAACATGTGGATTAATATTAAGTGAGAGCTGTGCACTGTGTAGCAAATGTGAGGCTATGTAGAATTTGCACATGCACTCACGAGCCAATCTGGGCCATCTGGTATCCAGAGTCGATGGTTCCCTTCCCAGCAGAGACAGCAGCAGTCAGCATCAGACGAGGACGGTTGGTCTTCTTGCCCTCAGCCACAAAGGCGCTCATCAATTCCTACAGATGGGTGACGGGACAGAAACGGTTACAGTTGCTGTATGACTGTTTGTTTGGGTTTTTTTGTTTGTTTTTTTTTTAAAACTGAGAAACACTGAACTCAAAGACTCCTAAAAGTAAGTGCTCTCACCGGCTGTCACCATTACTGCGGTGACAGACCTCAACTGAACACATTTACAAGGACACTGAAGGCAGAGCTGTTGGGGAAATCATGGTCATGACAGATTAAGGTAGACTGCATGAATGTAAACAGTGATCTGTAATTGGTCAGGACACACAATTTAGAAAAAAGCTGCTCAGAATGAGACCAAAACATAAGGATTTAATATTAATGGAAATATGTAAAAGTAAAATGTATTTAATGGAGCAGAGGTTGTGGTTTTTGCTTTCTGTTTTTCCCTAAATTCTTTTTTTTCTACTTTGTTGTTGGAGCAGCCGAGAGCAGCACGGTGCAACAAAGACAGCTGTCTGTTAAAACTGGACTGATTTAATTAAGAAGTTTAAGTTTTGTAGAATATTTCATTGGCATTTCATTATTGTATTTTCATCATATAACCAAGTCTACAGGACTTCCTGGATAGGTTACAGTGTTATGTTTCTACTTCTGCCCACAACCCAGATTCATCACAGCCAGAAACTGAATATCAGTATGACCGACCTGGACCAGGACAGTGTAGAGCTCCTTATCCTGAGGTGGGGAGCCACGAGAGCCAGGGTACTCCCAGTCGATATCCAGACCGTCAAACTGATACTGGCGCAGGAATGTGATCACGCTGCTGATGAAGGTCTGACGATTGGCAGCAGTGGAAACCATGGCTGTGAACCTGGAGACAGGAAAACAGTCAGAGCGCTCCTACCTGTGGTACAAGGTCCTCATGGCGAGAGTGTTCAGCCTCATTTCATCACTACTTACTTCTGAGTACCGAAGTTCCATCCTCCGATGGCCAGCAGAGTCTTCAGGTTGCTGTTCCTGCAAGCAACAACAACAATATTTCTTTAAACTCTCTCACTTAATCCATGTGTGTGTATGCATGCTTATGAGTATTGTAATGTGTGTTCACATGTGCTGGAGTCACTGTGAGCATTTGTGTGTACTCACTGGTTCTTCAGGGCCTGGAACTGTCCATAGAGTTTCTCATCATCCCACTCGTAGGTCTTGATCATATTGCTGTCCATTCCAGCAAAGGCATAGATGAGGTGGTCACAGAGACATGGGTCAATGTTGGTGGGGAAGTACTTGCCTGCTCCGGGACGGTACTGTCCCCAGTTAGTGAAATAACAGGAGAGGATGTAGGATGATCCTGCAGCACATGGAACAATTTCTCTTCAATTATGTTACCAACATAAATACATTTACACATTCATAGCAACACTAAGTGGATAAGGGATGTAATTACCTAGCTGCACGTGCAGCAGGAGTGCCAGTCCTGCAGAGAGAAGAGATAGAGTTAGAGAGGGTGAAGATGCAGCAGGTTGAGCAGTTAATGAGGATCAATCTCCATTATTAAAAGATTAAATTAATCTTAAATGTGCAGTAACAAAGTTTGAAAAGATTCTGTGAGCAAGGAGCTCAGCTTACCGACGCAGACGAGTAGCTTGCCCATGTTGCCTCTGTACAACAACCTGAGGTTCTGCAGAGTCTTTTATACTCCTCAGGTTCTCCCCATATCTGCGATATCTGTAAACTATATTTGATGAGGTCTGACTACTCAGCAGAAGTGAAAAGTCAAACTTGTTCATTTGTTTGGTCAAGACTGATAACCTTCATGTGCCTTTTGATAATGATATCATCCAAAAATAAATTAGATATTTTCAAGGTTATTATAGTTGGCAGAGCAATGTATGCCCGTGTCGCTGTGTTGACTTAAAACCAAGTCAAATATCAAATGTTCACACATTGGTTTTCACTGTAGTGACTGTAACTTTAAATGGTTGAGGAATGTTTCAAAAAATTGCGCGTAACAATTTTTTATGAATGGTCCTTATGACGTAAGACCATTTTCACCATTTTCCGTTTACAGAAGTTCTTTGATAGTCATGTTTACTCAGTTCTCTGCTTCATGCCTTATCGTCCTTAGATGTGGTTAAAATCAGTTATTATTGTTAGGTCTGTTACTAAAACTGGGAGAAGCTCTCTGTCCTTTCCTGTCCTTGGATGTGGACCAGCAGTTTGGTGAT